AAACCCTGTCTCGAAAAACCAAAAAAAAAAATATTTAATTTATTTTTATTTTATGTGTACGAGTGTTTTGTCTACATGTATGTATACCAGATGTGTGCCTGGTGCCCAAGGAGGCCAGAAGAGGGCATCGGACCCCCCTGAAACTGGAGTTACAGAATGTTGCAAGACATCATGTGAGTGTTGGGAATTAAACCTGGGTCCTCTGAAAAAGCAGTCTGTGCACCTAACTGCTGAGCTACCTCTCAAGCCCCAGCTTACATATGCTCTTATGGAGTAACCACTGTGTATTGTTCTTACTTCTATATGTTCTTAAGGAGCACCTGCCGTGTGCTGTGTTGTCACATATGTGCTTATGAAATACCCACTATACAACGGGCCCCGTGGATTCAGTCCTCACAGGATGCCCTGCAGGGAATTCTAAGTTTAATAAATAAGTCAGATACAAATGCAGACATCAAACAGAAAAGCTGAAGGATCCCAGAGCTGGGCCCAACCTAAGATGAGGCAGAGAAGCTGGGTATGGGAGTACTCAGCAGAGCTAGGAAGACGGGGGGCACAAGGTGGTTCCTGGAGGACAAAATTTAAGGAGCATTTGCTAGTGATGCTCCCAGCAAGCCTTGGCTCTGCTGCTGCGGAGTATTCAGCACCAGCTTCTCTGAGGAGAAGAAACTTTTCATAGTGCTTACCCATGCCCATTCCTGCAGTGTAAAGACCTCCACAAGAGCTAACAGCCCCCGTATGGGGGTCCCTGAAGAGCTGGGAGAGATGCTCATGTGGGCTCTCACAAGCAGGCACATGCTGGTGAAAGCCATTGCCTGCTCAGGCCTGCCACAGCAGTGACATTCAGAGGCAGAGGTAGTGACAGACGGACATAGAGGCGAGATGTGAATGACAGAGTCACAGGCAGAGCTGAGGGCGGGTTGGTTCTTGGTGAGCTGCACCGTCCAAAACTGCAGTTACTAGCCATATGTTGATTTGTCAATTAAAATTAATTAAAATGCAGCTTCAATTGCTCAGTCGCCCTGGACACATTTCAAAAGTGCTCACTGGTCACATGTGGTGGGTGGCTGTCATAATGGGCGGCACAGTTAAGGGACATTTCTATCATGGTCCAATGTCCTGCTGGACAGCAGGGAATGGGGGAGGGGGACACAGAAGGTGAGAGGTCATGGGAAATGAACTCTCTCGGCTTCCGTTTTCATCGTGAAGGGTCAGCTCAGATGAAGGACAGACTGAGTGAGGGTGTAGAGGCATGCCACATCTGTGGAATTTACAGCCCTGGAACACAGTGAGTGCTCATGCATACACCCAGCATTTGGGGGCAGCTGTGGGACAATGAGCATGCTCTGGGGCATGCCTGTCCACACACAAACCTTTTTACGGCAAGAGAAACCAGGAGTTGTGACTAGGGTTGAAATAAGTAGACGGGG